AACCAGTAGCTGATGCTTGACTCTGTACTAGAACCTCCCTGTCAAGCAACTCGTCCATCTTCTTTCCCATGAAACAGAATGCTACAGCCAAACACAACTAAAGAGTATTGAACAGTTCTGGTAATTCTGACGGGTCTTCCTTCCTTTGTAACTCATGGCTCAAACCTTCAGGATTTCCTAATTGCCTTTTAGTAAAAAATTTGTAACATTCAAATACTTCTACAGTCTGGCCCCAACCAACTTGATCTCATGATTTCTCTGTAAAACCTTGAGTTGGATTCTAACTGTATTTGATATTTCCCTCCTTGACACTTTTACTAATATGAGTTCTTCCCATTCTGCCATGTTCAGCCTAGTCTTCAAACCCCAGCTGAAGACCAGTAAGAGTTCCTGACTAGCTATATGTGATTTATAGTTTGAAAAACTGTCATGTGATCCAAACGTTTAAATGTCACTTATGCCTGCCTCTTCTACTGATTTTTCAATTGAGCTTTTATTTAAATGTTGTATTGTCATAGAATCTTCCTGAGGTCTCTAGCTGTTTTTAACTCCTTAAGACAGAGGCTGTTTTTCATATGTCTTTTTATCCTGTATAACACCTATGAAAGTGAAACTAACATTTGAGTACCTACTATGTGCCAGGCACTATACTAAATGTTTTCTTACATATATACACACATACACATATATATTTATATTTCTTACATATATATATTCTGTATACACACACATATTCCTGTTTAATTGTAACAGCAAACTTACGAAGGTAGATGTTATTGTCCCTATTTTTCAGATGAAATTGAGCTACAGAAAAAGTAAGTAACATAAATACTTAAGACACTTAATTACCGAGACAGCAGGGTTGGAACAACTAAGGGAGACCAGGAAGGGAGCAGAGCAGTTTGGAACAGCTAAGGGAGATGAAGTTGTCTGTCAGTTTGTCATACTGTGGTGGCTTGCGTGTGGCTTTGAGGCTGGAGGCTATGCCACTGGTGTTTCAAACGTCAGCAGGATTACCCATGGTGGACAGGTTTCAATGGAACTTCCAGAATAAGACAGAAGAAGAAAGAGGCCATCCACTTATCAAAGAGTTGGCTAGTGAAAACCTTATGAATAGCAGTGAAATACTGTCTGATATATTGCTGGAAAACTTTATGAGTAGCCCTAAAACATTGTCCGGTATAGTGCCCAAAGGTGAGCCCCTCAGGTCAGAAGGCACTTATAATATGACTGGGGAGGAGCTGCCTCCTCAGATTAGAGTTGACCTTAATGATGTGGACAGAGTAAAGCTTTTAGGACCTCTGTTTGCTGATGTGACATGACTCAAAATGAGAAGAAACAGCTGCAAACATCCATTAATAATAGGAACATGGAATACAAAGTATGACTCTAAGGAAACTGGAAGTTGTCAAAAATAAAATGGAACACATTAGATTGATATCCTAGGCATTAGCTGAAATTGGACTGGTTTTGGCCATTTTGAATCAAACAACCATATGATCTACTATACTGGGAATGACAAATTGAAGAGGAATGGTGTGGCATTCATCATCACAAAGAATGTTCCAAGATCTATCCTGAAGTACAATGCTGTCAATGATAGGATAATATCCATACCCCTACAAAGAAGAGCAGTTAATATTACTACTATTCAAATTTACACACCAACCACCAAAGCCAAAGATGAGGAAATTGAAGATTTCTACCAACTTCTGCAGTCTGAAATTGACCAAACATGCAATCAAGATGTGTTGATTATCACTGGTGACTGGAATGCAAAAGTTGGAAACAAAGAAGGATCACTGATAGTTGGAAAATATGGCCTTGGTGATTGAAATGACGCTGGAGATGGCATGATAGTATTTTGCAAGACTAACGACTTACTCATGGCAAATGCATTTTTTCAACAACACAAACAGTGGCTATACACATGGACTTCACCGGATGGAGTACACAGGAATCAGATTGACTTCATCTGTGGCAAAAGGCAATAGAGAAGCTCAATATCTTCAGCCAAAACAAGGCCAGAAGCTGATTGTGGAACACACCATCAACTGCTCACATGCAAATTCAAATTGAAGTTGAAGACAATTAAAACAAGTCCACAAGAGCGAAAATATGACCTTGATTATATCCCTCCTGGATTTTGAAACCATCTAAAGAATGGATTTGATGCATTGAACATGAGTGACCAAAAACCAGAGGAATTGTGGGATGACATCAAGAACATCATCCATGAAAAAAGCAAGAGGCCTTTAAAAAGGAAAGGAAGAAAAAAACAAAATGGATGTCAGAAGAGACTCTGAAATTTGCCCTTGAACAGAGAGTAGCTAAAGCAAATGGAAGAAACGACAAGATAAAAGAGCTGAATAGAAGATTTCAAAGAGCAGCTCAAGCAGACAAAGCCAATTACTATAATGAAATGTGCAATCCTGGAGTTAGAAAACCAAAAAGGAAGAACACGCTCAGCATTTCTCAAGCTGAAGGAACTGAAGAAAAAAATTAAGTCTCAAGTTGCAATACTGAAAGACTCTGTGGGCAAAATATTGAATGAGGCAGGAAGCATCAATAGAAAATGGAAGGAATACACAGAATCACTGTACAAAAAACTATTGGTTGATATTCAACCATTTCAGGAGGTGGCATATGATCAAGAACCAATGGTGTTGAAGGAAGAAGTCAAAGCTGCACTGAAGGAATTGGTGAAAAACAGGGCTCCAGGAATTGATGGAATATCCTTGAGATGTTTCAACAAATGGATGCCATGCTGGAGGCACTCACTCAGTTTTGCCAAGAGATTTGGAAGACAGCTACCTGGCCAACTGACTGGAAGAGATCCATATTTGTACCCATTCCAAAGAAAAGTGATCCCACAGAATGTGGAAATTATTGAACAATATCATTAGTATCTCATGCAAGTAAAATCTTATTGAAGATAATTCAAAAACAGTTGCAGCAGTATATTGACAGAGAACTTCCAGAAATGCAAGCTGGGTTCACAAGAGGACGTGGAAGAAGGGGATATTGCTGATGTCAGATGGATCTTGGCTCAAAGCAAAGAATGCCAAAAAGATGTTTACTTGTGTTTTATTGACTATGCAAAAGCATTCAATTGTGCGGATCATAACAAATTACAGATAACATTGAGAAGAGTGAGAATTCCAAAACAATTAATTGTACCCATGAGGAACCTATACATAGACCAGGAGGCTGTCATACAAACAGAACAAGGGAATACTGCATGGTTTAAAATCAGGAAGGGAGTGCATCAGGGTTGTATCCTTTCACCATCCTTATTTGATCTGTATGCTGAGCAAATAATCTTGAGAAGCTAGACTATATGAAGAAGAGTGTGGCATCAGGATTTGAGGAAGACTCATTAACAACCTGCGATATGCAGACAATACAACTTTGCTTGCTGAAAGTGAGGATGACTTGAAGCACCTACTGATGATGATTGAAGACTACACAGTCTGCAGTATGGATTGTACCTCAATATAAAGAAAACAAAAATCCTCACAACTGGACCAATAAGTAGCATCACGATAAATGGAGAAAAGATTGAAGTTGTCAAAGACTTCATATTACTTGATTCTACAGTCAACACCAATGGAAGCAGCAGTCAAGACATCAGATGACATATTGCATTGGGCAAATCTGCTGCGGAAGACCGCTTTCAAGTGCTGAAGAGCAAAGATGTCTCCTTGAGGACTAAGGTGCACCCAACCCAAGCCATGGTATTTTCAGTTGCCTCTTATGCATGTGAGAGCTGGATAGTGAATAAGGAAGACCGAAGAAGAGTTGATGCTTTTGAGTTGTGGTGCTGACAAAGAATACTGAAAGTACCATGGACTACTAAAAGAACTAACAAATCTATCCTGGAAGAAGTACAGCTGGAATGCTCCTTGAAAGCGAGAATGGCCAGACTTCGTCTCACCTACTTTGGTCATGTTGTCAGAAGGAACCACTCCCTGGAGAAGGATATCATGCTTGGTAAAGTGGAAGGTCAACGAAAAAGAGGAAGGCCCTCAAGGAGATGGATTGACACAGTGGCTACAACGATGGGCTCAGATATAGCAAGGATCATGAGGCTGGCACAGGACTGGACAGTGTTTTGTTCTATTGTACATAGGGTCACTATGAGTTGGAGACAACTCGACGGCACCTAACAGTAACAACAGAGATGAGTTTCTGCCACCCAGCTGCCAAGTGGTACATATCTAAGAAGAATAAAAGGTTCAAATTATTTATATTGTTTTCTGCCTGACTTATTCATATTGCCCTGAAGTTTAGGGTTTCATAGAAACAGATTCCAAAAAAAGCCAGAATTTTTTTCAAAAAATAGAATTTGACATTATTATTAACTGCAGAACCATAGGAATCCACTAAATTGCTTGAAGTCAAACAGATAATTATGTTTTGAGAGTGTTATAAATTGAAATATGTCCCCCAAAAAATATTTGTTATAGATCCTAACTTCTGTGGTTGTAGTTTCATTTGGGAATAAGATGTCTTTGTTATGTTAATGAGGCAGGATTAGTGCACGGTGTATTTTGAGTCAATCTCTTTTGAGATCTTAAAAGAGATTAAACAAGCAAGGAAGAGAAGGAGAGATGAGGTAAAATAGATGCCGAGAGACATGGAGATCTCCGAGGAACCAGGAAACAGAAGCTGTAGAGAAGTCTCTCCAGAGCGGCCAGAGAAAAAAGCCTTCCTCTAAAGCCAGCACTCTGAACTTGGGTTTATAACCGAAACTGAGAAAAATAAACCTCTTTTGTTAAAGCCATCCATTTGTGGTCTTTCTGTTAAAGCAGAACTAGATTACTGAGACAGGGATGTGCAGATTAAGGGAATTCAGTTTCTGTTATTCTATACTTTGCTCTGAGTTCATGTAGTGTGATGTGAAATAAATCACAACAAAGTCCACCATTCTTAGGTTGCTTAATGCAAGGTGGATACCTTTCAGAATATACTTTCTCTTCTCCTTTCTTCTTTTATAGGGTTACACATCTTTCTGGAATGACTGCATATCATCTGGCCTGCGAGGGGGCATCCTGATAGAGCTGGCCATGAGAGGTCGAATCTGTTTGGAACCTCCTACCATGCGTAAGAAAAGACTACTGGACAGAAAGGTACAGCATCCTCTGTAACATCCTCTTAATTTGTGGAAAAGCAGACACCAACAGCCCATTGCTACTATTTGGGAGAATAGGAATATTTGACCAGTAAGTCAATCAAAATACACTGTCCCATTGTCTAAACAAAACCAAAATCAAACCTGTTGCTGTCAAGTCAATTCCAATTAATAACAATCCTATAGGATAGAGTAGAATTGCCCCATAGGTTTTCCAAGGCTGTAAATCTTTATAGAAGCAGACTATACATCTTTTTCCAACAGAGTGGCTAGTGGGCTCAGACTGTTGAGCTTTCAGTTAGCAGCCAAGTGCATAATCACTGTGCAACCAGGGCTCTTTGTCTCATTGTTTAGCTAGGTATAATTATCCTATAGCATCGGGAGAAATCCAAGTTCCCATTCCTAAAAAGTTATAAGAGATTCATGTTTTTGTCTTCCTTTTTTATGCAGAAAAGTCATATTTAAGATACTGTTAATCATTTTTCCTTCTGTATGTGTAACTATGACTTCATGAGATGAAGTATGATATAGAAGGAAGCAAATATGTGGATTATACTAAAGTTTAAACTACTTGAGAACAGGGATAGTATTTTATGCATCTGTGCAGTTCCTACAACACTTAACCACTAATGTATAAATGCTGTGTTGAAAGATTTTAACTTGAATGAGTTGAATGAACCCGGGTCCCTGTTTCTTCTTTCCTGAAAGGTACTGGTAAAGTCAGACAATCCAACAGGTGATGTCTTACTGGATGAAACACTGAAGCACATTAAAGCTACTGAACCCACAGAAACTGTACAAACATGGATAGAGTTACTTACTGGTAAGTTGATTCAAAAGTTGATCCATCTTTTGTTATCTTAAACCTATCCTTAAAGTTGAGAAAAGTAGTACCAAAGTTCAGGGTGCTGAGTAAAATCCACATGGTCCATATTTACAATAGCACTATTTACTATACTATAGTAATGAGAGACAGAAAGAGTATTGTAAATACCTAAAGTTTTCTGTAAGGTGCTCATTGGCTGATTTTCAGAAGTAGATTGCCAGGCATTTTGTCCTAGTCTGTCTTAGGATGCTGTGCTGAAACCTGTCCACCATGACTGACCAAATTGGTATTTGATACACCAGTGGTGTAGCTTCCAACATCATAGCAACATGTGAGCCACCATAGTATGACAACTGATAGACGTGTGGGGAGGGGCACAGACGGGGCAATGACTGAACAATGTTTCATTCTGTTATACATAGGGTCACCATTAGTTGGAGATGACATGATAGCAACAACAACAAAGTTTTCCAGAGCTTCACCTTACCTTCAGCCATCCCACACCCTAAGCACATTAGCAGTATTCTTCACAAGAAATTTTTTTAATGACATATAATTCACAGCATACAGTTCAATGGCTTTTTGTATATTCACAGAACCTGTTTAACTATCTAACAAGTCTTAAGTTTAGAACATTTTCATCACTCTAAAACGATACCTTGTATCCATTAGCACTCACTGTCATTTCCCCCAACTTTCCTCCTAGCCCTGGGCAACCTCTAGTCTCCTTTCTGTTTCTATATATTTGCCTACTCTGGATATTTCATATAAATGGAATCATATACTATATGGTCATTAATGACTGGCTTCCTTCATCTAGCATGTTTTCACATCCATATTTTAGCATGTATCAGTGCTTCATTCCTTTTTTTCTTTGTAAATTCTGTAAGAATAGCTAGATCTATGACATACAATTTTAGTAAGACTCTTCCAGAGGGCACCTTGAGGTCATAGCCAGTGTCTCCTTCTAGAACCATTTTTTCTTTCCTAACTGAAATTCTTATTGAGATCATTGTAGATTCACATTCAGTTATAGAAGATAATACACTAGGACCTACTTCTAATTCTCCAGACAGTCACCATACTAGATTTTCAAACTTTTTCCCAAAGTGTCTATACCATTTTGCATTCCCATCAACAATGTATACTGGTTCCAGTTTCTCCACATCCTTACCTACATTTGCTATTTGTCTGTCTTTTTTATTTTAGCCATTCTGTTGTTGTTAGGACAAGGAACCGTCGTGGCCCAGTGGTTAAGGGCTTGGCTGCTAAGCAAAAGGTCAGCAGTTCAAACCCACCAGCCACTCCGTGGGAGAAAGATGTAGCAGTCTGCTTCCATAAAAATTACAGCCTTGGAAACCCTCTGGGGCAGTTCTACTCTGTCTAAAGGGTACTGTAAGTCAGATTAGTGATTAGTGTGTAAATTTACTGGTCTTCCTTTTGTATATGGATATTGTCCTATCTCTGGCAATGGGTTGTACTTCAGGATACATCTTGAAGTGTTTTTTTTTTTGTGATGAATGCAATACTGTTCCTCTTCAATTTGTCATTTCCAGCATGTTGTTGTTGTTATGTACCGTCGAGTCAGATCCGACTCATAGCAACCCATCCTTGGGTTTCCGAGGCAGTATCACTATGGAAGTAGATTGCCTCATCTTCCTCCGAGGAGTGGCTGGTGGGTTTGAACCTCTAGCCTTCTGGTTAGCAGTCAAGTACATAATAGACCATATTTGTCCAGTTCAGAATGGCCAATTCTAGTCTATTCAGCTCACTCATGCATAGAATATCATTCTTTATGGATTCCATTTCATTTTTCATAACTTCCAGTTTTCCTAAATTCATGTTCTATACATTCTGCATTCCAATTATTTATGGATGTTTGTCTTGTCCCTTTGAGTCATACCACATCAGCAAATATAAGTCCTGAAAAGCTTTACTTCATCTATGTCGTTAAGGTCAACTCTACTTTGAGGAGGCAGCTATTCCCAAGTTATATTTAGAATGCCTTCCAAACTGAGAGGCTCATCTTCCAGCACTATAACAGACAATGATCCACTGTTATACATAAGGTTTTCACTGGGCAATTTTTTCAGAAGTAGATTGCCAGGTCCTCCTTCCTAGTCTGTCTTAGTCTAGAAACTCCAGTGAAACACATCCATCATGAGTGACCTTGCTGATGTTTGAAATACAGTGCCATAGTTCCCAGCATCACAGCAACACCCAAGCTACCATAGTACAACAAACTGACAGATGAGAGACAATGCAGGAAGCTCAATGTCATCGTCAGAACAAGGCCAGCGGCTGACTGCAGAAGAGACCATCAATTGCTAATATACAAGTTCAAGCTGAAGCTGAATACAATTAAAACCAATCCACAGGAGCCAAAATATGGCCTTTTTATATGCCACCTGAATTTAGAGACCATCTGAAGAATAGATTTGACACACTGAACGCTACTGACCAAATACCAGACAATTGTGGGATGACATCAAGGACATCGAGGAAAGCAAACGATCATTAAAAAGACAAGAAAGGAAGAAAAGACCAAAATGGATGTCAGAAAAGACTCTGCAACTTGCTCTTGGATGGAGAGTAGCTAAAGTAAATGGAAGACATGATGAAGAGAGCTGAACAGAAGATTTCAAAGGGCAGCTGGAGAGGAAAAAAGTAGTATAATGAAATGTACAAAGACCTGGAGTTGGAAAATTAAAGGAGAAGAACACACTTGGCATTTCTCAAGCTGAAAGAACTGAAGAAAAAGTCAAGCCTTGAGTTGCAATAGTGAATGATTCTACAGGCAAAATATTGAATAATGCAGGAAGCATCAAAAGAAGATGGAAGGAATACAGAGTCACTGTACCAAAAAGAATTGGCTGACATTCAACCATTTCAGGCACTAGCATATGATCAAGAACCAATGGTATTGAAGGAAGAAGTCCAAGCTGCACTGAAGGCATTAAAAAAAAAAAAAAAAAAAAGGCTGAAGGAATTGACAGGATATCCACTGAGATATTTCAACAATGGATGCAGCACTGGAGGCACTCACTCATTTATGCCAAGAAATTTGGAAGACTTCATCATAGCACTATTCACAATAGCAAAGATATGGAAACAACCTAAGTGCCCATCAGCAGAAGAATGGATAAGCAAACTATGGGACATACATACAATGGAATACTATGCAACCCTAAAGAATAATGTAGACTCTGCAAAACACTGCATAATGTGGATGAACTTGGAGGACATTACGCTGAGGGAAATAAGTCAATCACAGAAGGACAAATATAATATTAGTTCATTATTGTAAAAAGTCAAGGAAAAGTTTATATATGGAAGGAAACTTTCTTTGTTGGATACCAGGGATGGAAGGAGAATGGAGGGAACACTGCCAGATAGTAGAGACAAGTATTGATTTGAGTGAAGGGAAGGGCAGTGTACCAAAAGTGAGTGATCAACACAGGGGCATTGAGGAAGAGGAAGACACCAAGAGGTACACAAGAGATTCAGACAACAAAGATAAACCCTTTTACATATACAATAGTGCATTTTCAGTGATAACAAATATTAATGTACAAGTAAATAGATGAGTAGACAGGGTGAATGATCAGGTATGTCTAAGCAAAAGGGAATATACCCATCACCATATTATATATGGTTGGCAGATGATATTTCTACATATGTATTTGTATGTGCTCTAAGACTGTCCAAATATATAATAGAGCTAACAAGGGGCAAAGTTATAATAACTTCTTGGCCACAGCCAGCCACCCCGAGAGAGCAAGTAGTTGGACCTGTGGGCTTGGGACCATGGTCCCAGAGGACATCAAGCTCAACTGGCATAACATACTACACAAAAACATTGTTCTACATCCTACCTTGGTGAATAGCAACTGGGGTCCTAAAAGCCTGCAAGCAGCCATCTGAGATTCAACAGTGGGTCTTTCTTTGTCCAGAGCAAAGAAGAATGAAGAAAACCAAAGATGCATAGAAACAATTGGCCCAAGGGACTAGTAGACCATGCATATATGACCATGAGTCCTCAGCATGTATGACCATAAGACCAGAAAAACTAGATGGTGCCAGGCTACCACTGTCAACCACTCAGAAAGGGATCAATGCAAGAGATCCTGGATAGAGTGGGAGAATAATGTGGGACAAAATGCAAAATCTTAAAAAAAAAAAAAGAGAGAGAGAAAGACCAGAGACTATGGCCCCTAGCTGTCCTTCAGGTCTGGAATGGAACCCACTCCTATGGCTTCTAGCCAAACAAAAGACAGGCATATGAGCTGAACTAAACATTTATATTAAGTAGATACTGTCCTTGGAGGGATCAATCATGGGAGAATAGAAGGGCTGTGTATGCACAGGGAGACAGCTCAGGTGGCAGGAGTGCATGGGAGGAAAGGATACAGGGAAGAGGTAACTATCAGGAGGAAGTGGGAGGGGAGCTGTGCATTGTGGGAAATTGTAGTCAATGTCATGAGACAAAGTGTATGTGAGCTGCTGTATGGAAAATGAATTTGCTCTGTAAATTCACCCAAATCACAATAAAAATTAAAAAAAAAAAAAAAGTTTACTGGTCTGATAGAACCTGGTAAGACCCCCAACACTATAGCCCCTAGTTTCCCTAGTTGACCAGGAGGCTGTCGTTCGAACAGAACAAGGGGACACTACATGGTTTAAAATCAAGAAGAGAGTGCGTCAGGGTTGTATTCTGTCTCCACACTTATTCAATCTATATGCTGAGCAAATAATCCGAGAAGCTGGACAAATGAAGAAAAACATGGTATCAGGATTGGAGGAAGAATCATTAACAACCTGAGATATGCAGACGATACAACTTTGCTTGCTGAAAGTGAGGATGACTTAAGGCACCTACTGATGAAGGTTGAAGAATACAGTCTGCAGTATGGATTACATCTCAACATAAAGAAAACAAAAATCCTCACAACTAGACCAATGAGCAGCATCACAATAAATGAAGAGAAGATTGAGGTTGTCAAGGAATTCACGTTGCTTGGTTCTACAATCAATGCCAACGGAAGCAGCAGTCAGGACATTAGACGACGTGTAGCATTGGGAAAGTCAACTGCAAAGGAACTGTTTCAAGTGCTGAGGAGCAAGGATATCTCCTTGAGGACTAAGGTTCCTGACACAAGACATGATATTTCCAATCGCCTGGTATGCATGTGAGAGCTGGACAATGAATAAGGAAGACCAAAGAAGAGTTGATGCTTTTGAGTTGTAGTGCTGGTGGAGAATGCTGAAAGTACCATGGACTGCTAAAAGAACTAACAGATCTGTCCTGGAGGAAGTGCAGCCAGAATGCTCCTTGGAAGCAAGAATGGCCAGACTTCGTCTCACCTATTTTGGTTATGTTGTAAGAAGGGACCATTCCCTGGAGAAGGATGTCATGCTTGGTAGGGTGGAGGGTCGACGAAAGAGGGGGAGGCCTTCAATGAGATGGATTGATGCGGTGGCTGCGATGATGGGCTCAAGTATAGCAGGGATTGTGGGGCTGGCGCGGGATCGGGCAGTGTTTCATTCTGCTGTGCATGGGGTCGCTATGAGTCGGAAACGACTCGACGGCACTTAACAACAACAACAACCCTTCAGGTCTGGAACTGAAATCACTGCTATGGCTTCCAGCCAAACAATAGATAGGCATATAGGGTGAACATTTACATCACGTAGATACATTCCTAGGAGTGACCAATCATGGGAGAACAGAAGGACAGTGTTTGCACAGGGAGATATCTGGGGGGCAGCACCGCAGGGAGGGAAGGACACAGGGAAGAGGTATATCTATAGGGAGGAAGTAGGAAGAGAGCTGTTACATTGTGGGGAATTGCAGTCAATGTCATGAAACAAAATGTGTATGAACTGCTGTATGGAAAATGAATTTGCTCTGTAAACTTTCACCCAAATCACAATTTATTTTTTTTTAAGTGCACAGATCAATATTTGTTGAATGGAAGTCTGGCTTTCAAAGGCTTTCATCCTGACATAAATACCACTTCAGAGGCAATCTGTCTGGCTTGGTTGATCTTCTGTGGTCAGCTGGCTCCTACTTTTCTACCTTGAACTTTCTCTACACCTTGTGTTGTTGTTGTTGTTATGTGCCGTCAAGTCGGACCCGACTCACAGCGACCCCTCCGTGGGTTTCTGAGGCAATATCACTATGGAAGTAGATTGCCCCCTCTTCCTTCTGAGGAGTGGCTGGTAGGTTTGAACCGCCAGCCTTCTGGTTAACAGTCAAGTGCCTTAGCCACTATGCTACCAGAGCTCCCCTCTACACCTTAGCCTTTCTATAAATAAAAGAAGCAAAGTAATGTATAGGAAGGAACCCTAAACCAAAGACCTAGATTCTTATTCTGGTCACTTTACTCTTATAGGTTTCAATTTTTCTGCAAAATAAAATGATGAGACGGATAGATGATGTGTTAGTCAGGACTTAAATGTTACAAGTGAAAAACTCAACCCATACTCAAGCAGATACAGGAAACTTTTTGGCTTCTGTAATTGATTGGCCCAGGCTCTAGAGGCTCTAACTTCAAGCAGAGCTTGATCCAGATACTCAAAAGAAAAAAAAAAAAAAGAAAGAAAGCAATGAGAATGGCCAGACTTTGTCTCTCACACTTTGGTCTTGTTGTCATAAGGGACCAGTCCCTGGAGAAGGATATCATTCTAGGTAAAGTAGAGGGTCAGCAAAAAAGGGGAAGACCCTCAATAAGATGGATTGACAAAGTGGATATGATGATGGGGTTAAGCATGGCAACAATTTCGAGAATAGCACAGGACTGGGTAGTGTTTAATTCTGTCGCATATAGGGTCAATATGAGTCCAAACTGACTCGATGGCACCTGACAACAACAACTAACATGAGGGGATAGGAACATAAAGCTGTGTATACCACCATCTTGTTGGTGCCTCTCACATATGATTTTATTTTTAAACCTGGCCTTCTAGGATTTACCCACTGGTTAGAGTAACTTATTGTTGAGCCAGTGTTTGATCGGAGGTTATGCTTAAGCCCTTGTATGTGGATTTCCATTGAATGTGAGGTTTCCATTCTGTTGATGGATCTGTGTATGGCCTAAGGAATGCTTTCAAGGCTATCACACTGTCCTGCTCTGACTGTTTGTGAGTGGGTGCAGCCTAGTGCATGCACACAGCTATCCCCACCCCCAGGGTTGGCTGTGATCCCAGGAGGGCTTTTCATGGCTTTCTCTTTCTCTTTGGTTCTCTCTGTTAAACTTCCAGCTGCTCTACCATTTGGCTCATTGCTACCATTATCATGTAGCTAACAGCACCGTCTCTGGTAGCATAGTGCCAAGGCACTTGACTGCTAACCAGGAGGCTGGCGGTTCAAACCCACCAGCCACTCCTCGGAAGGAAGGTTGGGCAACCCTACTTCTGTAGTGATAACTGCCTCGGAAACCCAAGGAGGGGTCGCTAGGAGTTGGGGCCGACTCAATGGCAAATAACAACAACAACAACAACAGCACCGTCTAAGTGTCCTCCACCAAGATCTCCATGTTTTTGTTTTTGTTTTGTTTTTGAACATTTTGTGGGTTTGGTAAAAGTTTACAGGGAAAATTAGTTTCCCATTCAACAATTTATACACATTTTGTTCCGTGACATTAGTTAGTTGCAATCCCCTCAGTGTCACAGCACTCTTCCCCCTTCTTCCCTGCGTTCCCCATTTCCATTCATCCATCCTTTCTGCCCCTTCCTGCCTTCTGAACTTTGTTTTTGGACAAACGCTGCCCTTTTGGTCTCATATGGTTGATTGTTCTGAGGAGCACATTCCTCACCGGTGTTATTGTTCAGTTTTATAGGCTTTTTTTTATTGTTTGGCTGAAAGGTAATCCCTGACATTAGATCCAGTTCCAGGTTTGACTGGTCTAAGGGCCATAGTCTCGGAGGTTCCAGAAGTCTATAACAGACCAGTAAGTCTGGTCTTTTTTTTTTTTTAATGAGTTTGAATTTTGTTCTACATTTTTCTCCCACTCTGTCCAGGACCTTCTGTGGTCCTAATTAAAGCAGTCAGTAGTGGTAGCCAGGCACCATCTAGTTCTTCTGATCTCAGACTAGTAGAGGCTGTGGTGATCTTCATGTTTTTAACAATACTTTAAGGAATAGAATTCTTCACACTATTTTCCAAATAAAGTGAGTCCCCTCAGGCAGAGCTATAGAAAACTCTTCATCGTTCAGGCCTGTTCCTCATCCTGGGCAGAATCTTTGTGCACTGCATAGGAGTTGGGATGGGGACAGTGGCCCACTTCTCAGATTGACACCTCTGCCCTTTGAGTGGGCACTGGAAGAAGGAGAAGAAGATTTGACTGGGGACAATCAGGTCCCCGATATTCTTGGCTTGTCCTGCCTGGGTAGAACTTCTGCCCCCCCAGTGGGGAGGGGGGCCTCAGCCCTCTCAGATGTAGTTTCCCAGATTAGAACATCTGCAATACTGGGTAGAAAACATCCAGGACAGTCTGGTACCCTGAACAGAATTTAAAAATACAAGAATAATTAACAGTATTACAGGGAAGTCATGTAAGACAAGAAGAGAAATAAAGCTATACATTCTACAAATAATAGAAGTCCTTAGTGACACTTTTTGAACCTACTTTAGTATAAAATATTAGAGTCAAAACCAGAGTATAAAGGGCTAAGGATTAAATGAATTGAAGAATAAATGAGGACTACTTTTTGTAAAAAATTTAACCATTCAAATTTCCAAATAACAAGTTTACTTTTTCACTTAGCTTTTCTCTTTCTATTCATGATACCCTGTTTCTTTTCCCCATAGGTGAGACCTGGAACCCTTTCAAATTACAGTATCAGCTGAGGAATGTACGAGAACGAATTGCAAAGAACCTAGTAGAGAAGGGTATTCTAACCACAGAGAAGCAGAATTTCCTTCTATTTGATATGACCACTCATCCAGTAACCAATACAACAGAGAAGCAGCGACTAGTGAAAAAACTGCAAGATAGTGTTCTAGAGCGGTGGGTAAATGACCCTCAGCGAATGGACAAGCGAACACTGGCGCTCCTGGTGTTAGCCCACTCCTCCGATGTGCTCGAGAATGTCTTCTCCTCTCTGACAGATGATAAGTATGATGTGGCAATGAATCGAGCTAAGGACCTTGTAGAACTGGACCCTGAAGTGGAGGGGACAAAGCACAGTGCCACAGAGATGATCTGGGCTGTGCTGGCAGCCTTCAATAAATCCTAAAGCCAGTAGGTGGGTTTCTTCTTTTCCTCTGCTGGCTGGTGACTGTCAGAGACCCCATCACTGAGTTTTGTGTGATGAGATGTTTTTGCATCACAGTTTTCCTTCTCTTGAAACAGACTTTGTGATTTGAGACAGAAGCAACATCAGAGCTTCTCCATAGACCGTGACCATTCTAAGTAGACTTTATTTCACCCTATACTTCCACTCCAGAGGGAAATAAACCAGGTGAATACACACACACCCAGTAAACACTTTTTCCCATCTTTGCTTAGTTTCATCCAGTGCTTTTGGACAAACAGGAATATCTGCTGGAGTTAGACATCTCAGCCACAGAATGTGAATGATGAAGAGCAAACCATTTATTATTTTTTAAGTTTGTCTTCTATCTTAAATAGATGGTGGTTGAAAGCCTTTGTCTCTAAAACTCTGCTAAGTAACATATTATATTGAAGTAATTGTCTCTTTCAAATAAGAGGCAATGGAAACAAATCGAACTTTTGGAGTAGATGGTCTCTGGGATTGTATATCCTGCTAGTGATTTTCTCATTTTTCCTTTTCTAATCCAAGGAGAATGTCCCAAATTTGATTACCTGTTTCTCACATCCTATAACCACAAATACACTTTATATTCCCTCTTAACATTGTGCTGTTCTCTCACTTAGCAGGACAAAAATCTAACTGAAAAAAAAATGTATCTCTCAACCATCTCTTTCATGTAGTCAGCATTAGAATTAGTAAGGGAGGGAGGTGGCATGAGAATTTCCATTCTTCAGCACATGACTGTCCTGTTCTCCGGACTACTTTAAATGTCTCTGCTGTGATAGAATTGAGAGCACTCTAAATTTCAGTTGGTAAACAGAAGCACCCTGAGTCCAGACAGTATACCTGAACTCAGTCTTACTGTTGCCTATTTTTTACTTCCCACATAAATTGAGAAGTTCTGTCTATATTTAAGGGTTCTGGGAGTAGTTTCGTATATATTTAATCCACAGAATAATCGTCAGTCTTGATTTAACATAACCTTTTTTCTGGCCAAATCTCTAAAAATCTCTCACTTCGGTAGTGAGAGCAGAGAAAAGCTTTATTAAGAAAGAGCCTACTTAGAGGAGCAGTTTGGTGTCACATTCAGCTTGATATTTTAAAGGCCAGTATAACTTCATTTCCTCCCCAACCCTGCCTAGTCCCACAAAAATTACCCAATTCAGTTAATATTTTTTTTGTTTTTCACTTCAGGTATCTCTTAACTCACTAGATATACAGATTGTAATGGGAAGAAAATTATAAATGTGAGGCTGAGTAGAGCTGTAGTTTGGTGAAAGTGCAAAAGCCAGTCCATGTGTTGCCTCTACCTGACTTAGTTTTTCTTTTCATTAGAACAATTCGGCATGAATTGAAACCAGGTTTTCCTGTGGAAAGTTTCAGCTTGATTGGGGGATGATAGTTGAGTTCTTTCTTGCAACTCTTGGTCAGTGTTTATTTTTATATTATATCTCAATAAGATTAGGATGTCTTCAATTTGAATCTGCATTATGTTCACTGCCAAACATGTTCTCATTTAATGTGTATGGCCCTCGCACTTCTGTATAATAAAGATGAACTCTTGGCTCTCTGATTTCTCTATTACAGTTTTACAACTTTAGTTATTTTACTTGAAAATAAGAGTTTTCTGCATAAGGCCAGTAATGCCCTCCCCCTTATATTAGCATACCAGTCTCTCTTTTTCCTGTGTAGAAAATTAAGGGTATACAGATTTTAAAATTATAACTCATACAGGATGGGGGCCAGGGCACATCAAGGTTAAACTGAATACCAGCTAATGTTGTGAAGTCTGAATAGTGTCTCCTTTTCAATTAGAGTAACAATTACCTAATTTTACCATTATTTCCCTCAGGAGAATGAGTATATTCTCTCCTGTTGATATCTACTTTCAAGTGATACATGAACTTATCTAAGAGCTAAGAAGTCTTAAGCTCTAAATATAGGTCACTACCTAACTATAACAATTAACAAAATGTGAAAAGATAATTGTACTGATAAACTTTGTAATTAGCTTATTGTCTATCCCTTCTTTAGAATGTCTGTAGCACAAAGGACAATAAGAAATATATTAACTTTGTTTTACACTTTTCTGTTATTTTTATTTAAGACAGAGCACTGTTCCCAGAAGTTATCCTTTAGTGTGGTGCAGTGATCACCTGCACTAGAATCACCTGGTTGGGGCTGGGGGAGGGTACCTTGCTAAATTGTGTTGTTGTTGTTATGTGCCATCGAGTCGGACCCAAATCATAGCGACCCCTCTTGGGTTTCCTACGGAAGTAGATTGCCCAGCCTTCCTTCCAAGGAGTGGCTGGTGGGTTTGAACCACCAGCCTTCTGGTTAGCAGTCCTGTGCCTTAGGCACTATGCTACCAGAGCTCCTTTGCTAAATTGTAGGTTCCTAGTAAATCAGTGTCAGGTTAAGGGTTTAGGAAAGTGTGGCTTAAACAAATTCTCTTAAAGCTTACACATTAAAATTTGAGAGCACTGCTATAATTGTCAGTTATCACAACAGCAACTTCTGTTGGCTGTACCTTCAAAACAGATTCCACATCAAGCCATTTTCACCTTCTCATTGGCCACTGCACTCTAGGCCAAGTGACTGTCATCTCTTACCTGTACTGTTGTAAAAGACTAATTGGTTTCCTGTTTCTGCTTCCACACTTGGCCCCCACATAGCAGCCAGAGTGATCAGTTTAATACCTAAATCACTTGTGTCATTCCCCTGCTTAACAACATCTAATGACTGCCTGTCACACAAAAAAATAAAATCCAAAGTCTTTAGCATGGCTTATAAAGCCAGAAGCAATCTGATCCTTGCCTACATCTCTCTTACTCTAGCTCCAGTTTGCAATTTCTCAAAATACACCAAAAACGTGCTGCTGCTTCAGAAGCTTGGCATTTGCTGTTCCCGCTATCTGGACCAGTTTTCCTCAAGATGACTACTTGGCTCATTGCCTACCTTATTCAAGTCTCTGCTCAAATTTCTCAGAAAACTATTCCCTAATCACCCTACCTGAAGCACTGTCTCCTCCTACCCAGTCACAAATAAAATAATTACTGAGCACATCTATGCCCTAGACATTCTTCTAGTTTTTGTGAAATCTCACCCTCTTTATAATCAAAAAATGATGATGTTTATCTGCTTTACTCTCATTTCAAGTTGCACACTTCCCTAATACTCAGTAATTTAGATATGTCAAAGATAAATGTATAAATAAATCATTACCTTAGCAATCAAAGTTTTTATACATTACTCTTTAGCAGAGCTTGGAGTTAGAAATAGCTTGCGTCCCCCCTACACTTTGTGCTTCCTATTAGTCACTACCCTCCAGGGGTAAATGCTATTCATCTTTTAAAGAAACTGATCTCTTAAAACACATTCATAATATAATTAACCAAACCTGCATTCAACCAATAGTTTCCACTTTACTTTCCCTGTGATCTGGCTTAAACTTACCCTGCCGTCTATCCCATTCTTATGTCTGGTTGGACCATATGGTTAACTTGCTACCAAGTTCAGTCAGTTTTTAATATCCCTCATTCTTCTGACCACTTCCATCCCTACTGCCACTGCCCCTTATCAGTAAGCCAAACATAAGTCATTAAACCTTGGAAACTTAGCAACTGGTGGTGATTCTGGTCAAAAATAAGATCACTTTATACCCTCTTTTACTGTCCACTCACTTCCCTGAAGGAGATAAAACTTAAAACTAAATTAATTTTCACAAACTGAAAAAGAGAACCCACTAACACCTGAGAAATACGACCTACCCCACTCCACCCCCACCTTGTGCTCCCTTCCAGTCACTACCTTCCAAGGGCAACTGCTTTCCTGACTTCTAACAACATTCATTAATTTTACCTTAATAGGATTTTTGGAGATAATTGGAAAAAGCTCAGATGGAGGAACATTTGAAGAAAAGTAAATCTTAGAAGTCTGAAATGAGAAGTTGGAAAGGAGAGGTCTGTCCAATCCAAAAGTAAGGGGAAAAGCAAGAGAGAAGGAAGCAAAGAGGAAGGAGAAATAGAAGCATGAAGGGAAATACGTTACCCAGTTGGCTGCCCAGGAAACCCAACTATGACACTCTTCTCAGGCTTGCCTTCTCTCCCCCTGCCCCTCCAGTGTCCCATATTCTCTCCACCTGCTTTCCCACTTCTCAGCAAACCTACCCACCCAGAATTAATCCTAAGTGGAATGGTCAGTTATCTATTTGACAATATTGTGAAGGTGGAAAGCCTCTGCTCCAGATCTCCCTCATAAGTCTATTGATAGAACATTAAATGTCATTAATGATCTTTTGGGTTAGTAATTGCCTCTTTTGGTGGAATACTTTTAAAATATAAACACTACAAAAAGGAGTAAACTTTTCACAGTAGCTGACACATAATAGATGCTAAGTAAATTTTCTTTCTCTGTGATTTTTCTCTAGGGCCTTCTCTGAGCCAGTATTTCATAATGTAACCGTTAATTTAAAAAAGGGGGAAGACCCTCAACAAGATGAGTTAACACAGTGGCTGCAAGGATGGATTCAAGTATAGCAAGGATTGTAAGGATAACACACAGGACCAGGCAGTGTTTCCTTTCTTGTACATTAGGGTTGGAGTCAGAGCTGACTCAAAAGCACCTAAGAACAACACTGTTAATTAAAGATGATCTGATTATTTAATCCAAGTTTAAAATGTTAACTCCAACACCTCAATAACAAAAAGACAAACAATCCAATTAAAAAATGGGCAGAAGACATGAATAGACACTTCACCAAGGAGGATATTCAAGCGGCCAACAAACATAAGAAGAAATGCTCACGATCATTAGCTATTAGAGAGATGCAAATCAAAACAACAATGAGATACCATCTTGCTCCAGCACTAGTAGCAAAGTTCAACAAGACAGAAAATAACAAATGCTGGCGAGGTTGTGGAGAGATTGGGACTCTCATACACTGCTGGTGGGACTGTAAAATGGTACAACCATTGTGGAAAGCAGTAGGCGATTCCTTCAAAAGTTGGAAATACAAATACCATTTGACCCAGCCATCCCATTACTAGGTATATACCCTAAAGAAATGAGAGCCATAACAAGAACAGATATATGCACACCGATGTTCATCCCAGCACTATTTACAATAGCCAAAACTTGGAAACAACCTAGATGTCCAACAACTGAGGAATGGATAACCAAACTTTGGTACATTCACACAACGGAATACTATGCAACGCTAAAGTAGATAATGTAGAATCTGCAAAACACCGCATAACGTGGATGAACTTGGAGGACATTATGCTGAGTGAAATAAGTCAGTCACAAAAGGACAAATATTGTTTAGTCCGTTATTGTAAAAGTTAAGGAAAGGTTTATATATTGGAGGACATTTTCTTTGTTGGTTACCAGGGGTGGGAGGGGAGGGGAGGGAATGCTGTTAGATAGATAGAGATAAATATTGATTTGGGTGAAGAGAAGGGCAATGTACCAAATGTGAGTGACCAATATGGCAGCATTGAGGATGAGAAAGACATAGAGAGTTACATGGGCAGTACAGACAACAAATATGAACCCCTTTGCATATACAGTACTAAGTTGTCAGTGAAAGCAAACATGGGTATAGGGATGGATAGATAGGTGAACAAGCTAAACAATTAGGTATGTCTAAATGGGGAGTGTATCCAAGATCATATATAGGGTTGGCAGACAATGGGCCTATAAGTTCATGTGAATGATCAGAATTCCCAGGTGTATAGTAGAGCTGACAAGGGGCAAGGTTATGGTCATTACTTGGTCACAGCCAGCTACCCAGAGGGACCGAGTAGTTGATCCTGCGGGCTTGGGACCATAGTCGCAGGGGATATCAAGCTCAATTGGCATAACATACTATACAAAACATTGTTCCACCTACTACTTTGGCGAGTAGCGACTGGGACCTTAAAAGCTAGGAAGCTGCCATCTAGATGCAACAACGGGTCTCTCCTCATCAAGAAGAAAGAAGAAAACCAAAATTAATGGAAACAATCAGTCCTAGCGAGTGGTACACCATCTGATCTGCAACCTATACAACTATGAGACCAGAAGAACTAGATGGTGCCCAGCTACCACTGCCATCCACTTGGAAGGGATGTAGGAGATCCTGCATAAAGAGGGAGAACAATGTGGTACAAAACTCAAAATCATTTGGAGGCAAAAAAAAAAAAAAAAGAAGGTGGGGACCAGGTTTGCTGGTCCAATACTGGTGGAACCACTGAGACTATGGCCCCTAGCTGCCCTTCAGGTCTGGAATTGAACCCACAACTGGTTTCCAGCCAAACAAAGTACAGGAATGTGAGTTAAACATTTACCTCAAGTAGACACACACCCTGGAGAGAACAATCATGGGAGAAGGAAGGGCTGCTTATGCACAGGGAGATAGCTCAGGGTACAGAAGAGTATGAAGGGATGGACACTGGGAGGAGGTAACTATGGGGAGGAAGTGGGAGGGGAGCTGCTGCATTGTAAATTTTGGTCAATGACATGAGACAAAGTATATGTGAACTGCTGTATGAAAAGTGAATTTACTCTGTAAATCTTCACCCAAATCCTAATAAAAAAAAAAAAGAAAAAAAAATGTTAACTGATAATGTTGATCTAGTATCTTCTGGGTAACATATTTGCAAGTTAAGCAGAAATTTCAATGCTACGGGAGGCAGAAATGAGATATTTATGAGAAGGGAGGCTTTTGTTATTAGAAAAAATTGTAAAAACTTTAAAATGGCAAAAATATTATTGGACTTAGAAGAGCCTTTGGAATTATCTGATCTGTGCCTTTCATTGTCTTCGAAACTATTGTACAACTTTGCAAATTGAGAAAAATGATGGCAACACAAATGATTCTTGTAGAGATTCAAATTAATTTTGTCCAGTGAGATACAATTAATTTCGACTCTGCAGAAGAAATTATTCTACACACTGCGTTTTGTGCGTTGTGGATGTTGACCAGTTTTGCATCTATTAGCAAATTCTTTTAGCATTCCTAATTGCCTGTTTTATGTCTGATGGTGCAGTGGTTAAAGCATTCGGCTACTAATCAAAAGGTTAGTGGTTCAAACGCACCATGGAAGAAAGATGAGGCAGTCCACTTAAGATTTTCTTGCTCTCTGGGGCAGTTCTACTGTGTCCTATAGGGTCGTTATCTGTCGGAATCGACTCGAACAGCAGTGAGTTGTTTTCTGTTTCATGTTTTAGTCTCCTTTGAATCAGTACTTTGACGTGTTAATTTTATATGCGTTATGATTTTATCTTTTTAACAATATTTTGAACACTGTGCTATTCTGATCGCTTAGGTACTTTAAACTACACTTAAGACCAATCCTGAGAGTGTAGATTTGTAAAGAGGAACAAGACAGAACTTTAATTTGCTGATATTCTCTGTCGGGCCCATCAGAGGGTGCTAATAGCATGTCTTAAACCCAGCTATTTCTGCAGCTGCATAACTTAATTTTTAATGGTCATTCTTCTGTAGAATGGTGCTTGAGCACTAACGAATTTTACACTGTTATTCCCAGACAATTCGTCTCAGATAACCTGGAAGGATTTAGGTTTACAGCCTCTGGCTATTCAGTCTGACAATCAGTAAAACCTCCTCCACGCAGGGTGGTGAAGCCGAAGGAAGTCAGCAAATGCCAAACCTAGCTGCCGGGTCTCCAAGAATTCCCACGTAGGCTTCCAATTGGCCCTTGTCGCTCATTCTCTTTCCAGATTGGTGTTCCAGCTTGCCCGTCGCTTTTATAAAACCCACCTTTGGCCAGCGACTATTGGTAGGTCGTTACGTCACTGGCTCATCTATCCTACTCCCATTGGCTTCCATAGGAAGAGGCGGTCGCAACGTCACGGGCAAGGGCCGCCATTTTGACTGTGCAAACCTAGTGACAGGAGCTGAAGCAGCAGCGCAGGTTTTCCCCGTTTCCCCTCCCCCTTCCCTTCTCCGGTGGACTTCCCGGGCCCCCTACACTCCACAATCCCAATCCCGCCATGTCCCAGAAACAGGAAGAGGAGAACCCTTCGGAAGAGACCGGCGAGGAGAAGCAGGTGAAATGGAGGGGGTGCAGGCTGGTGAGCTGGGGGCGACCGTGATGGGGCGGGAGACAGTATCCCACCAGTGCGGATTGGTCGCCATGGTCTCTGGGTCTGCAGGGGTTGGTCACTTCTTGCGTCACGCAGGGTGAGCTTCAACACGGCCTGCTCCTTTGGCGCTGGTTAGTTGATCCGATTGTCAGTCATTTCATACCCTTCCTAATTGGCCAATAGGCCTACAGCTCTAATCATCGACGCTGTGCTTTAATTGGCCGAGCTTGGGCGCGGGGCGGGTGTTTGGGTAGAGTAGGTGAATGAAGGGGTTAGGTGCGGGGGTAATGTACTTCCGTATAGCTTTACAGCGTTGGAAACCCTACGGGGGTCGCTATGAGTCGGAATTGCCTCCATGACAGTGGGTTTCGGTTGGGTTTGGTGGGTCTGGGGTGCGATGTGTGTTGGTTAGTAGGGGTCTAAATGACGCGACAACCAGGCTGAGGCCCGCATCCTCAATCTGCGGAAAGATACAAGTCAAAGTAAAGACGTTTAAAAATGACAAACTCTAGGGGAAGAGGAGAAGAATAATTATTATCACGGCTAGTTTAAGTGGTGGCAGCTTTCCCTGGAGACCTGTTCTCACGGTTGGAGGTGACCAGTTGTCCACCTTAGTGCAGACTGAACAAGATTAAAGAGGACTAGAGTTCCAACAGAATGATGGAGGTTAAACCTAGAAAAGACTGAAAAAGTCTTGTTAAGAAAGGTACTACCTTACTCTTCCAGACTTCCAACACAGTATGACGTGTGAAAACATTAACACCAAAGAAACCTCTTCGAGGTGGTGTTATTTGACTTCTGATATTTAGTACTCAGCTCAGGGACTCATGAAATACACCTGCTGTTATATCTGTACTTGATTTTAAAGGGAGGGGAGTGTAAAAAGACTAAAAAGAGCTACAAATTGGCTTCAGGTTCTCTTTCAAGTCACTGAAAAAAAAGGCAGCGGGGCCTACAAAAATCTCCACAACACTGAGAGCCGGGCAAGCCAATTCAGCCTTTGGCATGTGTCCCAAACTTTCATCATTTGCTGCACCAAGAAAGGTGTTAATTTTTTGGTGAAAACTGGTGGGTAAATACTACTGAATCTACTACACGTTTTTCTGAGGTTAAAAAATATGTCATTTCATCTCTGTTTACCTATCACCTTTCTACTACAATGTTCATGGAAATGTTGGAGCAGTGCTGTCCCCATTACTCTGGTGGAAATCTTTGGAGACGGCCACATAGCCTCTTGCACAGGGAGACTTACCAGATGGCTTTCTTAGACTCTGAATAAGGAGAGAAGTTCTCAGCAGAATTATCTCCCTTGCTTTCCTATTTGATCTGTACTGTATGTTAGGGACAGCCTAGGGAACTCTCCTACACACCTTGTATCACCAGAAGCCCTAGGCAGCTCTTTCTCTTTGTGTTTCCTAGCTTCTGTGCTGAGTGAGCTATGGCCTGCTCTTTGATTAAAGAATTGTGTTTACTGGTATTACCTTTAACCCAATACTCATTCATAGTTAACTGGGGTGGTTACCTGGGTGTAGTGTGAGAAGCAGCTTGTTTTTCCCTTCCCACAATACAGTCACCTTGAGCTTTGGGATTTGAACGAAGATCCAGCTTTAGAAGCCAAGGGGAGATAGCATGTTTAGATTGATAGCATAAGGGTTATCAGGTATTAGAAGCAATTGCTTCTCCATCTTTAATTTTATTTGGCCCATCTGTTTCCTCCAGGACACACAGGAGAAGGAAGGTATTCTCCCTGAGAGAGCCGAGGAGGCAAAGCTAAAGGCCAAATATCCAAGCCTAGGACAAAAGCCTGGAGGCTCCGACTTCCTCATGAAGAGACTCCAGAAAGGGGTATGGGTACAATCTCTTACCCTCTTACTTTGTAGCTATAAGCCACACTGAAGTTGAGTCTGTAGAGGTTCTGCTAGATGATAATCAGAAAACTTTGTTGTTGAACAGTAAGAGTTAGAAGCTTGAAAAGCACAAGGCAAAATTTTGTAAACCTCTGACATGGTATCAGTTCTCTTCTGATTTCCCATATTGAAAATGAAGGCTTAAAGAAGGGGCATTTGGAATATAGGGTAGTGAGGGGATGGGGGAAGGATGTTAGAGACTAGAATAATGGCTGCCCCAGGCATTGCCTGTTCAGACCAGAGTGAGGAGTTTAGAGCTGTGCATTTAAAAAAAAAAAAAATAGAGTAAAATGGGACAGATCATTTCAGAAAAAGATCAAGCCATTTGTCATACAGAAATCCTCAGCTTGCAGTGAATTGTGGATTTCAAAGCTACCTAACACCAGCCATTCTTGACTGCTAACCAGAAGGCTGGCGGTTCAAACCTTCCAGCCACTCCTCAGAAGGAAGGTTGGGCAATCTGCTTCTGTAGTGATACTGCCTCAGAAACCCAAGGAGGGATCGCTGTGAGTCGGATCCGACTCCATGGCACATAACAACAACAGCCATTAACTACATTTTCTCAAGAGACTTACTTTTTCCTGCCCCGAGTGGTTCTCCTCACCAAGGAGAGTCTCCCTTCATAGCCATCTAGCTCCTGATCAGATTGCTTAGCCCCTGGGTACCTGAGGAGCCCTGGTCGTGTAGTGGTTTTTGAGCTGCTAACCAAAAGGTCAGTGGTTCAAACCCACCAGCTACTCCATGGAAGAAAGATGATAAGATCTGCTTCCATGAAGATTGATATCCTTGGAAACCCAGTGGGGTCGCTATAAGTTGGAATCAACTCGATGGCAGTGAATTTGGTTTTTTGAGAGGTACCTAAAGCTAAGAGGCACATTGTGAGGTATTCAACTGGAGTGTGCTTCTCTGTATGGAAGAAAATGTAAAGGGAAACAGATCCCTGTGGAGAATCTCAGTTATTGAGTCTTAGTCACAGATGATAATGTGATGCTGATTTGCAGCTTACCTTGCTGTAGGCAAGGCAGGCGTGGGCAGGCTGTCACAGTCATGGAACATGTGTGGGAGCAGTGGGAGTTGGAGGGAAAGCACATTGTCCTCATGAACAAGCCTGGTTCCTATTCCTGTCTGTAGGAAAATAATTTTTAATTTTGAAGTTATTTGCTGGAAGTTGGTCTGATGATTACTAGGCCACCCTCAGACCAACCCATTTATATATCTTATTCATTTCTCTTTGCCTAGCATCAAGCACATTGCTTTGTACATAGTCAGTCCTCAGTAAGCCTGTAGGAAGAAAGTCATAATTTTACTTTATCCTATATTAAGTGGTATACAAAGGATGTAGATTATTTACTCTAGCTTGGAAACTATTTGCATACCTGAAAAAGTCAGAACACATTGGAGAAAAGTACATATAATTATGGTTAAGCTATGTAAGTATGAGATTAATCAAGGAAGACTTCTCGAAAGATCTGAGTGTGCATGAGGGTTTACCATGAATGTGAATCTCCTTGCTTTTCAGAAAGGCCAGAGCTCCCTACTCACTCAGGCCTCCCTTTTGTCTCTTAGCAAAAGTATTTTGACTCAGGAGACTACAACATGGCCAAAGCCAAGATGAAGAATAAGCAGCTTCCAAGTACAGGACCGGACAAGAACCTGGTGACCGGTGACCACATCCCTACCCCACAGGATCTGCCCCAGAGAAAGTCCTCGCTCGTCACCAGCAAGCTTGCGGGGTAACCTGGGCCCCCTCTCCTCCCCTTCCTCACCCACTGGACTTTTATATATTATAGGCAGGAATGGAATGGGCACTTAGATCTTCTCAGTTTGATAGACGCAGATGACTGTGGTTCTGCTGGGGGCTGCTGAGAAGTTAATATGGGTTGAAGAGGGGCTCTGAATTAATTTCTTTGGTTAATCTGAGATTTCCACATCCTCACAGTAGCCCAGCTAGGAGCCCAGAAATAGAACAGACTGGATAATGCTGCAAACTCTTTTTCTTTTGTATAAGAAACTGGGGAGATATGATTTCTCCTTTTGGAAGAAAATACCCCAAAATAGGTTAGGCTGAGCCTTGGGAATAATATGTCAGATCTTATATCTCAAGGCTGACTTGACAAGAGTTGGGAAAGGTAGATAGAATAAGATATGTTTTCTGTGCTTCTGAATGTTTTGTCCCTTAAGCTACTATTGCTTCATGTTTGCATTATGGCAGGTTTAAAGAATCCTCAAAAAAGCTGATTTGCTTGCCTAAAACTGCAATGCCAACTTAACCATCTTTACTCAGTCAGTATCTCTTACAAGCTTTCAAATAATGTAAAGATTGATGAATATGATTCACAGCAAATGGGCGCCTTCTCTCTCTCCTAGAATGTTGATTTTGAAAGGTATCATGAGATTGTAGAAAGAGCACTGATTTAGGAGTCAAAATATCTGGGTTCTTCTCTTACCCAGTTTTGTAGAACTGCTGTGTAACCTTGGTCAGGTCATTTAGCCTGTTTGGATTTCTATATTCTCATCTGAAAATAGAATTGAATATAAATAAGATTGATTCTGACTCTGAAAATCCTCTACCTACCAGGTGAAAAACTCTGTGCTATTCATTGTAAAACTAAAAGTGAGGAAGGTCCCATGGGTGAGCTTCACATGGAAAAGTACTGCAGAGGGGAACAATTTGAGGGCTCCAGGCGGGGAGAGAAAGTTGAGATTTGGGGGCTGCAAAGTCAGGCAAGAGGACATCATAGTTACCATGATCTTGAGAGTCAAGGAAAAAAAACTCTTAAGAAGCCAGCCTTAGAAACTTCTTGCCTCTCCCCCACCCACTTTCTTGGCCTACATCTAAGCTTTTGCTGCTAAAAAGCTGCTCTGGAATTAGAGCTGTGGGCCGGAGGAAACATGCTCAGTCATGCACACTTGGAGCCCCGCATTTCAAACATAATCAGATGCTAGGTGTGGTGTTAGAGAGACAGAAAGGAAAGGGATGAACTGTGCTGGCCCCCAGGGCTTAATACTGCTGCAAGGCTGGAACAGCAGGTTCTTGAGAGAGGATTCATCCTGGAGGAAGCTAGGAAAGGTGGTTAGGGAGGGAAAGGAGACGGTCTCTGCCTTCCTAGAGCTCAGTAACCCAACTTTTGGGCAATGAGGAGAAGTAGCAATGCTGATTCATGAACAGGTGGAGGAAAGGGATCATGTTTGGCCAGCTCTAGGCATCACCAGTTTGGCCAGAATCTTACTGACTGCAACCTGCTAGTTAGGAGAGAAGGCCAGGGTAAGAACTAATTGTTCAAGAGAGCCCTCTCACCTCAAATTCTGGCACATCAAATATTTGGCCTAATGAGAATGACTGATGAACTTGCTGGTATGCATGGGGGCGTGGGGGGATGGAGTGTGTATATACAAATCTCGCTGGCCATTCAACTTTCCAAGCTGTTACGCAGATTGGATAGGGAAATGTTGGTGAGGAAGGAATGGAGAGAGCAGGATCCCTGGACTCCCTGGCCCCCAAACTCCTTGACTGTCACTTGTAATTGTATATGATTTTTGTGTTTCTTGGTCCATTTCTTCATGCTGTCTTCCTTAGTCTAAAGTCCATGTGGGAAGGGGAAAATGCTGAACTTCTTTGTATAGTTTCAATTGTCCCAGCCATGTTGTACATAGATATGTCATGTTATTATATATATAAATATATATATAATTTTGTACGTTTTCTTCATCTCCGATCTTCTCAAATTCTGTACTTTTTTCTTTTCTGTCTGAGCTACCTTCTCTGTTGTCACCCTGAGTGCTCAAGACTGATGATCACAATGAGGTCTGGTTTTTAGAAAGGAATGGAAGGAATAGAAAAACTGTTGGTCTCACTCTTTCTCCACCTGGTCATCTTCAAGGCTAAGAAAACAAAGAAACAAGCTGTTTGCCACCTGTTTCCACAGCTGAAGTATATAGCTTCCTTAGCAAGGAAGGATCACTTCAAAATACAAATACAAATGCTTTGATTAAACCTGGATTTTTTTTTTCTTCCTCCACCCGAAGCAAAATGTGCGTTGTTTGCCTCTGGCCTCCATGCAGTCACCACTTCGTCACTGTGCTGCCCCCCGTCAGTCTCCACTGCAGCTAGGGGCCATGGTTGTGCCTCTGAAACTGTACCTGTTCAGTTCCAGGCAGTTTACACCCCTAAGAAAAACTTCCAGTTATTTTGGTCTTTGTCTAAGAATTGTTTTTCTGTCTTCGTTTTCCATGGATAGCTCCACAAAAGCAGAAAACGTTTTGTTTTGTGGATAGGAAAAGACTGAAATTCTCTCCTTTTTTTTTTTTTTTTTGGTTTGCTGGTTTGTTTGCAACTCCCTTATGGTTAGAATTGAGGTATATATGCCAGGTAGCTAATGATTGTTAATTGTGGAAGAGTCATGGGTCAGGGACTGGGATGGAATTTAAGGTTTTCTCCCCTATTACTTGACAGTGTTTTATTTTTTTCTTCTGTGTTCATCTGCAGTGGCCAAGTTGAATGATGCTGCCCAGGGCTCCCGCCAGATCCTGAGACGCTGCCCCCTGGGTCCTGTGCTGGCTCCTCCCCCTCCCTGCTTTTGCAGCCAGGGGTCAGGAGGTGGCTCGGGCGCGGGCTGGAGAGGCAGAAGCCCCTGCCCGTCGGTGTCCCAGCACATGGAGCCCCTTGGGCTGAGCACCAAGACCTTGAACCTATTTTGTTTTACCTTTTTTCCAAATGACTGTTGGGAGAAATCTCAGTAAAATTCTGGGGGTGGGGTTGAGAGGGTGGGTGGGTTGGGGGTCTTGGGGGAATATGAATTAGGGCTTGGAGTTGATATAAAAAAAAAATTCCTGACTGTCTTCCTTCTTAACCATGTGGCTGGTGTGAGGTAGATATCAGGGAAAGGCAGTGGAGTGAACTAAAGATGAGACATTCCAATTCAGCTCTGTAGAAAAATGCTGTTTTGCTTGGGTGGTGACTGGGGACTTGGTGTCGGAGAAAAGGAACTGTCCATCTAAATGTGACAGATAACAGCTCCTCTGGTTGTGCAGAGCGAGCCGAGAATCATTGGTAATTGTTCATAAAGACATGCTGTCCTCTTGAACTAGATTTGCTGTGGGGAGGAGGGCAGTGAGTGTGGGGAAAAGAGGCCATGAGCATGGGGAGCCCCACAGAGCCCAGGGGAGTTTTTCAGTATTTGAAATAAAAAAAAAAGACCCAGCAAAAAAAAAAAAAAAAAAACAAGCGGAACTAATTGAGAAATTTAGCACTGTGGTTTATTGGGGCTTGGGGAGGGGAAAAAAAAAAAAAAGACTGAATACACTAAGGGAGAAGCTGGTGTGGGGTCCTCTGAGTTTCTAAGGAACAGGGGCCCTTACTATGGGATGTGGCAGGCTCCCCACTTCCATCATTTAGAAGGAGGGAGCAGAGATGTTGGCATTCAGATCTAGGCTTTTCCTAACCCTGGTCCATTCCTTTGTTTCTGTATCTAATGCAGAAGATCCATCAATCTTAACCGGGCCTCACAAAATGAGGGATTTAAAGTATTTGATCTAAATGGTTTATTGACTCCCAACCAGCTTGGCCAGAAACTGGCCAGCTTAGTCTGGGGTAAGCAAAAAAGGAACTTCATTCTTCTTTTTCCCCTTCAGTTTTCTATTCCTTCTCAGTTTCAAATATTTATAAATGAGAAATGTGACCTCTAATAATAAAAGAAAAGGAATGCAAGCGTTTCTGCTTGTGGCCAGCAGGAGGCAGAGTGACTTCTTTGCTCCTGATGTTCCAACTTAAGACAGCACTGAGATCTCACTGAAAGAAGTTAAAAGCTGCTTGTGAATGTAATGTATAAAGAAACAAAGGAGAAACAACTTCACACCCACCTCTCCCACCCAACCCCGCCCCCAGCATTCACACGTAGTAGATTGAAGCTATTTGCCCATTTTGCCAGAGTTTAATTAGGAGAGTTGATAAGGTGGTATTTCCTCAAATGTGACTGGCTTCTCAAATGAGTGTGCTTCAAGGAAGATTAAGAAGGTCCAGGAGCTATGGAAAGCTCTGGTGACGCAGTGCCTAAGACACATGACTGCTAAGCAGAAAGTTGGCGGTTCAAACCCACCAGCTGCTCCACGGAAGGGAGACCGGGCAATGTCTTTCTGTAGATTTACCACCTCGGGGGTCACTATGAGTCAGAATCAACTTGATGCAGTGGGTTTGGTTTTGGTTTGGAGCTGAAGAGATCCCAGAGAACTCTCCATTATACTGGGGAGGGTTACCTTGTAAACTGGAGAAGGAATGTTGTTTTCAGTATGTGACTCATTCTTTCTCCTTAATCAGAAGGTTTCCAAATAAATTGTCAGCTACTAAGGATGTTATTGGCTTGGCTTTCAGAATAGTGAGGAGATTGTGATGCTATCTAACCATCTGACTTTCTGAACAGCATGTGAGACACTGAGTGAGCCAGTTGGTATGGAGATACATTAAAAGCATTCACTACCATTGGAAAGTTAATAGTCTAGTTGGAAGAAAATAATACTGAAAAGTTTTGATAATTTCAACAGATACAAATGCAAATTTTAAAGCTAGGAGAGCCATAAGGTTATTTTGGAGTGGCATCTTTATTCTGGTAAATAAACAAGGCTACGCATCCTTATTCCCACTCAAAGCAATCCCTTGACTTCTTTTTGAGAATGGTGTCTCTGGCTTTTGTTTACTAGGTGGGAATGGCTAGGTAATGAGGTCGGTGAAGCAGAATGTGAAATTATTCAGTTCAACTTCATTTTAATACAGGTGAGGAAATAAATAAGTGACTTGTAAGGTGGCAGAGCTAGTTAGCTGAAAATCTTGAATTAGTATCTAGGATTTATATTCTTTCCCCCCCCCCCCACATGTACTTGGCTTCCCTAATCCTTAATTTATACAAACTATGGCCTTAAGAATCCTGGGTGTTAGGAAATTTTTGTGGCTATATATGTATTTCAGTTTGAAACATGCTATTCCTTCTTTACTACTATACTCTGGGGCTAGGCAACCAGGGCAGGCTTACTCTGCAATGTTACAGATATACATCCCTGCCCATTGTCTTAGCTAGGTGATTTCTAAAATCTATTCCAAAGAGTCAAGGATCTTTCTACTCCTCCAATACAGGAAATGATTGTGGTAACAAGACTCAGCTGAGCCTTCTGATATGCAGGGTGTCAAGAGCGAAATCACCATTATTGTCCAGTGGCATTTATTTTAACGTGGTGTGGCCTGGAGACGGGAAAGGCAGACAAAAGAAGAAAACTCCCAAGAACTGCCATTTAGGATAGGTATTTACAGTGAGAGCCCTGGTGGTATAGTAGTTGAAGTTCTAGGGAGCTAACCCAAAGGTCAGTGGTTGGAATCCACCACCTGTTCTGCAGGAGAAAGATGAGGCAGTCCGCTTCTGTAGATTTACAGCCTTGGAAACCCTATGGGGCATTTCTCCTCTGTCCTGTAGGGTCACTATGAGTCAGAACTGACTTGGCAGCAGTGAGTTTATTTATAGTGGGCGAGCAGCACCATAGTGTGTGTTTCTGCACAGAGTGCCCTTTACAGAGCCAGGAGGGAGATGACCAAGGAAAGGGATGATCTATCTGTCACAATAATACACAAAGGAAGATAAGTGTACTTCTAAGCAGCATCCTAAGGGCTAGGGGAATGAGAATCAGGAGATAAGTTGTTAGCTTAATTTTATTAAAGAAAGACGGCTTGCTGATAAAGAGAAGGTGGAGCCTCCCATGCTTGTGCAGCAGTATTTCAGTACACAAGTAATTGTTGAATACTCACTTTGCAATTGAACGTACTAGATATTGGTGGGCAGATAAACAATGTAAGACTTGGTGGCTGCCTAGGATGAGCTTGTATCCTTATTGCAACACTTCAACTTATGCAAGACAGCATATGATTAGGCAGGCAGTGGTGAAAATTCTGAGAAGGGAAAATCCAAAGGACTGGAATCATTAGGTAAATATTAGTGGAGAAGATGGTAGTAGAACTGGGCCTTGAAAACCACAATGTGCCAGACACTGTACTAAAATATAAGACAAGTAATGTGTAGTGGCTGTTTTTGTTTTATTCCCGCCCCCCCAATGAGATTACACTCTGGTAGGGACTCTACAGGGAGCTCTGGTAGCATAGTGCCTAAGGCACTTGACTGCTAACCAGAAGGCTGGTGATTCAAACCCACCAGCCACTCCTAGGAAGGAAGATGGGGCAATCTACTTCCGTAGTGATACAGCCTGGGAAACCCAAGGAGGGGTCGCTATGAGTCGCGGCGTACTTGATGGCACATAACAACAACAGGGACTCTACATGTGAACAAATCATATTACAATGTTATACTTACATCATAGAAGATCTAGCTCTGTAGTAGAACAGCAACAAGAGTGATAGCTGCTAAATTTTTTGAATGCTTATGTTGCTGTGTGTCAAGCTCCATGCTGAGTGCTCAATTTACATCATCTCATTTAATCCTCACAACAATTTTAGGTATGCTTACTGTTTTCATTATGCAAATGAGAAAACTAAGACAAAGTAACTTGCAAAACTTACACAGATTCTAAGAGTGGGGGCAGGATTCCCTCCAGTGCCTGCGGAGGGATGGGGAAAACAATGATCAGGAAAAATTTCATTGATTAAATTCTGAAAAATGAACAGGATTTCTCCAGAAAGGTAAGATGTAAAAGGGCATTTTGGTGGAGAAGCTTATACCTACAGAAGAATAAGACAATTTGGATTCTGTGGTGGTTCCACAGTATGGACTGAGGCTTGGGGAGTAGCTGGAGACCAGGCAAGGAAGGTATACAATAGCCAGATTATAGAAGATATGGTATGCAGGCTTGGGAACCACGGGGGGATTACAAGGAAGGAATCTGGCCATATCTGTGTGTTAGACTAGTCACTCTGACAAATAGTGTGAAAGAATTTAAAGGATATGAATTTAGATACGGAGTTGTTCTGATGTGAGGCTGCCTGGTTTAAATCCTGATTTTGATTTTTATCTCTGAACAAGTTTCTTAAACTCTCTTTGCCTCAGTTTACTTACTTGTAAAATAGAATTGATACAGTAATTACCTTAAAGGGTTTGTTGTGATGATTAAATAAGACATGGTTCCTGTCCTCAAGAAGTTTATAGCCTACAGAGAGACATAATAAAGATGGGTGAACAGGTAGCATACAAGGATTCAGGGATAAGTGCCAGCTGCTCTGGAAACACAGGGTAGAGGCACCCACCCAACTTGGAGAGCTGGGGACAGTCAGGAAAATCCTTTCATAGAAAGTAGCTTCAAAGTGAGATCTAGTGGAAGAATAGGAGTTAATCAGGCAAAGGAGTTAGATGGAGAAAGAGATCTTCCAGTGGGAAGGTAGAATATGTAAAAAAAGATTCAGGGGTGTTGTGTTGCAGAAACTTTAAATAATTAAAGATTAGCTGTAGCATAGCATACAAGGGGCAAGGCCAAAGACGGGTAGGCGGAAGCAAGAGTTAGATCACAAGGAACCTTAGGACTTTAGCCTGGAAGCAATGAGAAGTTGCTGTTTAAAGATTCTGAGCAAAAGAATAACATCAAATTGACTCTCTAGAATAATCAAAATGACAGCAATGTGGGAAAGACTGGAGAGGGTGAAACAGATATGTTAGTGGTGCTGTTAATGGGATGGAAAAGTTAGGAAGGGAGGGCTAGTGTGAGCAGGAAGATGATGAGTTCAACATGGGGCATAGTAATTTTGAGGTACAATGAAACACCTAAGTGGAGAATTTCATACAAAGTAAACTTTTACCATGGCTAGTTGAACTTGAAGGAGGTCTGGTAGCATAGTGCCTAAGGCACTTGACTGCTAACCAGAAGGCTGGCAGTTCAAACCCACAGGCCACTCCGTGGAAGGAAGATGGGGCAATCTACTTTCGTAATGATACTGCTTCGGAAACCCAAGGAGGGGTCGCTGTGAGTCAGGTCTGACTCGATGGCACATAACAACAACAAAAACAACAGTTGAACTTGGAGTAAGACAGACTACTGCTGCTACAATACCCCAGGTAAGGAGCCCTGATGGCAGAGTGGTTAAGACCTGAGCTGCTACCCAGAGGGACCAAGTAGTTGAACCTGGGGGCTCAGGACCATAGTCACAGGGGACATCAAGCTCAATTGACATAACACTATACAAAACATTGTTCCACCTCCTACTTTGGAAAGTAGCAACTGGGATCTTA